TGATTTTCAACTTTTTCTGTCTGGCTTATTTTGCTTAGTATGATTATTTCAAGGTCCATCCATGTTGTTGTAAATGGCAGTATTTCATCTCTTTTATGGCTGAGTAATATTCCATTGTATATATGTACCACAACTTCTTAGCCAATCATCTATCATCGTAGGAGACTTCCATTGCTTCCATGTCCTGGCCACTGTGAATAATGCTGCTATGAACATTGGTGTGCAAATATCTTTTCGAATATGAGTTTTCAAGTCTTTGGGGTAAATACCTAGTAGAAGGATTGCTGGATCATATGGTAGGTCAATTCTTAGTTTTTTGAGGAACCTCCATACTGTTTTCCGTACTGGCTGGACCAATTTGCAGTTCTACCAGCAGTATATGAGGGTTCCTATTTCTCCACATCCTTTGAGCATATATTTTTGACCAACACTTAGGTGGTTCCTATAGAGGATACATTAAAAAAATGAGACTGGTCCTATTCACTAAGAAATGTAATAGAGAAGGTCAAACTTATCTGACAATTAGGGAAAAGTCTAACTTCATTGGCAGCCAGTCTTAATTTCTCATTAATCCAGGAATATATTTCAACTAGAGACATGGTTTTCTGGAAGACAGGCTTATTGTACAACATCATCAATACTTTAGATTCTAGAAATTCAATTTATTGAATCCTTCAGATCACTTACCTTAGTATGCACTAAAACATATCAGATTCATGAGAATGGGTAATATTGGATAAAATTTCATCTCTTGAGAGTATGATGATGTATTGGAAAGGGAAGATAATTTAAAACATCTCTTGTAATGGGATAATCTTTAGATGAAATCATGTTAATGTTGAGATGAATGCTTAAAAATTCAGGGATATTGGATTTTTATCCTTATAAATTTGAGCTTCTTACTAATTGGTGTAATTTGCTACAGCTTGGTACTATGTTCATAAAGATTTTGTTCTATTAACTATTAAAAATTTCACAGGGGTGGCTTCATAGTGTAGTGGTTAGCATGTCTGCTTTACACACAGAAGGTCCTGGGTTTGCGCTCCCGGTGGAGCCACGGACCATACCCCCGGTGGGAGATCCAGTTCTTAAGGGGAAATGGCAACATCCATAGGTCAGGGATGGGGGAGAGGTAGAATTAAAGAGGGAGAAAAAAAATTCACAAACAGCTATTTACATGGTAAACAGATTATTATTTCTATTTGTAATTCCTGTATGATTCTGGGCCTGCATGTGTAAATGGCAATTTCCCTAAATTCCAACACTAATTTATGTATGTAGTATATAAATCTAGGTGTACAATTTTTGAATATCATCAGTAGAAAACATATAAAAGTATGTAAGACTATGGTTCTAGTTTAGCTCCTTTTACTCTTCTTAGATGTAGCTGAACCTTGATTAGAAAATTTGAGATCAATAAATTTTGATTCTTAGAATTGTAGACTCATGAACTGGCTTTGGCACTGCTCAATTAGATATAATGATGTCAAATCTACCCAGAACAGTTATCAGAATAGCCCATTTAATTACTAGAGTCATCAGAGTTCAAGGAAGATTCCTTAGCTCAAGTAGTCCTTGACAACAGGAGCGCTTTAGATTATTTACTTGCAGCCCAATGAAGAGTTTTTGCGTAGCTGATACCTCTTCCTGAACCTGGATAAATACCTTTTTTTCCAGGTAGAATTAGAAAGAACTAAGCTTCCTAAACTTGCAAAATCCCTTAAGGGAAATTCCAGTTTCATTGCAAGTGACACTAACTGATTAGGCTTTAGATTTTCTGATCTTTTCAGCTGGCTCCCAACTGGGCTCAGCATTAAGGTCTGGATTACCTATGTTCTACTCATTGCTGTTCTAATTTGTTTAATTTGCTTCATTGTCAAGCCATTTGATGTTCTGTATAACCAGGTGCCTAAAACCCTCTGTAAAGACTTGCACAATGGTTGCAAGCATAGAAACCATCTATCAAGCCATTGCATCCTCCTTTGTGTTTATAATCCATGATGGTTAAAACCTTTACTCCCAAACCAAATACCTTTCACCAATTGCCCCTAGCTTTCTTGAAGTTACAAATTGAGTACCTCTATTTGTTCAAGTTCTCTCGAATTGTTCTAGCTGTTTTATAGGAAATCATAAAGAAATCCTATTCACACCGTGCTAACTCTGCATAAACCCAACTTCAGATGATTTCTTTGCGTTTAACAGATGCCTGGGAGACCTCTTGTAAGCAAATGGCCCTAGTTATTCTATTAGCTACTGCCCAACCTCAGGAGTACCACCGAGGCACTGGATGGACCTGAAGCAGGTAGCCAATCCACTCTGGCGCCCACATGGGATTGATCATCAACGCTGACTGCTAACAGGTTTTGATGACAAAGTGGGAAACTTGAATCTCGAGAAGGGGTATATCTGCCAACAAGTTCTTTTCATGGTTAACTGGGCCCAATTCATAACCAGAGTCTAGTGGCCATTACTGATGTTGTGGAAAAATCCCAAACCCAGTCCAGTGAAAAACCAAGCAGTAACTCGAAGAGAAGGAGAACTCAGGTTTATTACTCACGATCCTAGAGGAGCTAGTGCTCTGAAGATCTGGGCAGTGTGCTCATTTGCAACATTCCTTATATACAAGAATTTTACACACGCTTATTGGTCAGTTTGAACTTGAATTGTTACAAACCTCAGTAGTTGCTATATGCAGATAGAAAGTAGTAACATTGGAGAAGGGTGGGAGTTGCTAAGGGTTACCGATATTTGCAAATTGTTACAGGAAGCGGGGGATCTGCCAGGGTACAAGGTGCTATAAGAGGCGGGGGCTGCTATGGGTACAAACAGTTACATTTACAAGTTGAGCAAGGTGCAAGTGAGCTCTTGCATGAGCTCCTGCATACAGCAAGCATATTTACAGAAGCTGAAAAAAAAGCTGATTAGTTTTTTGATGTAAATTCCTCAAATTTCCTCTTCACTGACAGAGGATTTTCACACACTGCATTTCAGGAAAAACCATAGATTGAGCTTTCAACTTCCTGTACTATGCTTCTGCTCTGTGAGTCAATCATTACAAGGGAGTTCATGGTTTTATATTTTGACCATTGAACTGAGACCTGCCCTATCCAACCAAAACTAAACATTATATCCCCATTTATATCTAAATCAACCAATCAGAACTACTCTATAACAGCCAATCAGAACTGTACAAATTTGGAAAACTCATTTGCATAAAATTGAATCAATTGGGACCCTGGTTGGGGACTTTCTCTATAAAATGTTGCCTTCCCTTTGTCTTGGTGGAGTACACTTTTGGTTTCCACCAGAGGCTGATTTGCAAACTCTTCACCTGCATAAAGTCCCCTGATTTGCAAACTCTTCACCTGCATAAAGTCCCCTGCCACCACACCTCTTTAGGAATTTTTTTGAATATACATATATATATATTTGAAGTACATATAAGAGAGAGAAGAGAGAGAGAGAGACAGAGAGAGAGAAAGAGAGAGAGAGAGTTAGTTTTCATATAGAAAAGATACCAAACCTTAAATGTTCAGGAGTAGGGTTGCAGGAAGTTCCCTCAGGTCACTTCTGAGGAGGTATCCTTACTGCACCCCCAGAGGTCCCATAGGGACTTAATAGCATCTTAAAAGTTTGGCAGCCATGATAATTAAATTTCCCTTTTCCCTGTATTTTAAAAAATAAACTTTTTATGTTGGAATACTTTTAGATTTGAAGTTACAAAGATATTATACTCTTCAGTTTCCCCTAAAGCTAACATCTTACATAATCATGGTACAATTGTCAAAACAAAAAATTATTAATCATGACTATTAACTTAAATCAAGACGTTTTTGGAACTTAAAATTTTTTTCACTAACATCCTTGTTTTGGGGTTCCAGAATTTCATCTAAGATACCACATTACTTGTAGCAGTTTCTCAGTCTTTCCTTGTTTTTCATGATCTTGATAGTTTTGAGCAGTACTGGTGAGGCATTTTGTGGAATAATCCTCAACTGGTATTTGTCTGATGGTTTCCTCATGGTCAGACTGGAGCTATGCTTTTTGGGGGAGAGGAAGGCCCAAGAAGACCCAGGAAAAGTGCCATTTTCATTATATCATATCAAGGGTAAATACTATCAACATGAATTATCATTGTTGATACCAACCACGAGTGGTGTTTGTCAGGTTTCTCCATTGCAGTTATTTTTCCTCCTTCCCATAATGTACTCTTTGTACTCTATTCACAGCCGACACTCAGAGGCGTGTGGTTGGAGATTAATAGCCTCTCTGGATGGGGTATGATTAATTAGAATTCTTCTATAAGGAAGATGTATCTCTTCTCCCCATTAATTTATTTAATCATTTATTACAGAAGAATGGACTCGTATTTATTTTATATTCTGTTATAATCTAATACTATGCAACTTATTTTGTGGCTCAAAATGTTCTAGGTTTGTCCTTTAGAGAGCTCTTTCAGGTTGATGCCTGTGTCCTCTCACATGCCTCCACGCTTGTATTTTCTGAGCATTCTTCACTTCTGGTGCTCTTGGATGCTCCAGACTCAGCTTATACTTTTCCCTGCTAAGTCCTCTTTTAGTTGAAAATT